TGTCCCATTAATGCTAAATCTCCAGATGGTCTCCCAATGGTATTAAAACCAATGGTTGCTTGAGAGAGAGGTGTTTCAATGTGGAGAGACTCATACTTGAGGGGGAGAACCTTAAGTTTTTAGTCAAAAATGATATCTTAATCTCTCGTATAGACTTGTTTATGTCTCATTGGCGTTAAGATTTTATGGTACTCGATAAAAAAAGAAAATCTTTAAATAAGATAATAACTAACGTTGTTTTCAAAACACATAATAGTATTTGTCTAAGTTTCACACTTAATCAAATTCATATGCAATAATATAAGTTATCTAATAACAATGTAAATTTGTAAGATTAGCATTATATTATTAATATATTATTAAAGCTATCTGTGAAACAAAAGTATTGTTTTTGTAAAAAAGAACACGTGAAAAGAATGGATTTTTAGATTTTATTTGATCTTTTTATGCTAATTCCCTTTCTTCAAAAGTGATATTTCTATTATTTTATTATTTATTTAAATACTTTAATATTCAAAATAGTTGATAAAACTTTATTGATATTGTTTGAAAAGTGATTATGTGTTAATGACTCTAGGAAAACCTTTTTAAGGATTCATTGACTACACCACTCAACAAGGATTTTCTCACCATAACAATACTTTTATGCTCGAATAAAGAACTAGTTGGTGGAGAAGATCTGAAGGCTAAAGAAGAAATATTGAAACTTCCTCAACAAGATTAACTCCCATAAAGAATTATCTTTCAAGAACACACATGATCACGCCAATTAGTGAAAATTTGTTAAACAATGATGAAATCAAACATTGACCCAACCCTAACCTTATCCTCAACCCCAACATTAATTTAAATCATGTAATTCACAAGAAGGAAACAACTTCCAGGAATTCCATAAAGAAGAGAACACCAAAATGCTACCAGACTCGTCCGAGTGAAAGTTAAGTCAAAAGATTGATTAACACCAAATAGAAAACATGTGGTGGTGAAGAATTTGAGTAATTGTTTATCTTGATACTGAGAGAGTTGATGGAGGTGATAAAAAGTGGAACAGTTGGGAAGAAAGGATTTTCATTTAATTTAAACTTTATATCTTTCATGAATTTAAGTTATGGTATCAGAAAATTGAAGGATGAGAAATGAAAAAGACCATGAAAGAGGTGAAGGAAGTTGAAGAAATAAAGACAAAAGAAATAAGTAAAATAAAATGAAAGATTGAAGAAAGCGAATGTCATTTATAGGTGACTACCTTCTAAACCGTGTTAATACATTGAAAGAGATTATATTAATTTTTTATAAATAAAATGAGATATGAATTAGGAATAAAAAGTTAAGAGATTACATTGAATAAATATCTCAAATAGAAAAAAAAAACCATTAAGTCTTGTTAAAAAACCTTTGCAACCATTTATTCATAATAATTCAATTATAAATTTATCTAACAATTCAATAAATATATAGAAAGTATATTTTATAAAAGAACAAGTTAACAATAAAAAACAAAAATTGATATAATGCTCCATCGATAATTGAGTTGGATATATATATATATATATATATATATATATATATTTTTTTTTTTTTTTTTCGGATTTTACTTTCTCTTATTTGTTTTATTTTCATCCAATATTTCTCAATATCATGTGTTGCTATCGTGAGCTCTCTGTAAACTAGAAACTATAAAATAAAACGTCTTCAATGGTCCAGAAAACACTTTTTCTGTGTTACATGCCACTTTTCATGAAGGCTACCCACAATATAGTTTTGGGATTAGTTTCAAGATTAAAAACAGTCCCATTTCTAAACACACTAACACATGCTACTGTGACCTATAGTAAGGCACCTGTTCGTGATGTACTAGCTTTACTCTGCGTGGAGTTTATTCATGTTCTACATCACAATGCTCTGCAATATGTGTACTAGCAATGGTAGCAGTATTTCATCCCATCGCTAAATTCAAAGACAAATTTGACTCAACAACAATACCTTCATATTACTCATTGCAATTTAAATACAAGAGAAATAGAATAGAATGAACGCATATTTTTTCTGAACTGCCGCAGTGACAGGGTCACCTCTTCTTGACCGACCATTTTCTAGTGTAGAAGCCTCGCAAATGTGCCTCAGCTATACACACTAGAAATCTTCCTCCATGAGTAAAACCAAAATTGCTCCCATTGTTATGCAGACACTTAAGCTTCAGTTAAAGGCTCTGTCCTCTCAACACCCTCTTTAACTATTAGTGTTCGGCCATAAAATTCCTGCAAGAAAGATCAAACTAAGCAACAAACAGTAACAAATGAAACAAAAATCATAAAGTGGTCAAAGCAGATTTTACTGTTCCATTGAGAGACATTGCTGCATCACGTTCCGCCTCTAATTGAAAGGAGAGAAAGGCATAGGCTCGACTTTTCCCTTGTTTAAAATCAAGCAATACTCTGGCACCAACTATATTTCCAAATCTGCTAAAGTGATCTCTCAGCTGTTCAGGTCTCATTGTCTTAGGAAGATTGCCAACATACAGCTTATGAGAAGATTCATAGTATAAGATCCTCTTGGTGGAAGAGTTCGCTTTATTAAAACCCCTCCTTCTAGAATTCACCTCAATTGAAAATCTAACCCTCATTTCGCGCCCATCAACATCCTTCAGTCCAAAACAGAAAAAAAGAAACTAAATCAAACACCTAGACATGCATAATGATTCTAACACGAGCAAAGGAGAGAGAGTTTCACAACTGATCCATCCAATGTAGCAACTGCATTTCTTGCTGAGTATACAGATCCCAGTGTCACGTAACCACAACCCTTACTTTCATTAGTCTCATCATTTCGGCAAACCTGAATTAAACCAAGTACAACACGATAAAGATAAGACCTAATGTTGATTCCAAACTCTCAGTCATAACACTCACCTATCATTTCTGAATTGTTGAGTCAGAATTCAGATTATAATGATAATGACCAGAAATTTTGCTTTATAAACAGTTTTCAAATTGGCCTATCAAAATTTGACAACTAAAATCTTGTAACCTATTACATGAGCACAGATACTTCTTCCTTATGTTACATTTGTCAGACACTCCTAATTAGGAGTTTAATTGCAGAATTATATTTTGCTAACTAGCTTTATTCACAATTTATAAATGCCACCTTATTTTTGCAAAAAACTATAAAAGAACATTTAAGTTTGAATGAGGAATGAAAGTGACATTTTTGAATTATTTTCCTTTGGATAATACATAAACTAAAATTAAAAACAAAAATACCAGACATGTTTTTCTTGAATAAATTGGACGAGCTAATTCATAATGAAAAAACAAAATTAAAAAACAGAAACAGTAATTAAAGAAAAAAAAGAGGAAGAGAAGCTAAGAGCGTAACCTCAACCGATAGAATGGTCCCATATGGCCTGAACAAGTCAAGCAAGTATGCTGCATCACAGCTTCTGGGGAGGTTGCACACGTACACTTCACACGATTTTCCAAGCCTTTCGTTATCTTCTTCATCCACTAAACCATCACCTTTTTGAGGGTAAACAGATTCTTCTCCATTAATCCGTTCTTCAACCACCTCCCTAGTTTTCCTCTGCGGAGTGAAAGAAGAAGATGATGAAGGTTCTGGAGATGTGCGGGAACGCCGTGGAAGCCCGAAATGTAAAACGAATCGTTTCACTTGGGGTTTGTACAGTTTGAAGGGTAGCACATAAGAAGAAGAAGGTGGTGTAAAGAAAGTGTGAAAAAGGGTGTGTGGCATTTTATGTTTTGTTTTGCTTTTATCCACCCAAAGAGAAAGTGTGAGAAGTGCAGTAGATAGAACAGAGGATAACAAATTAAGCTTGCGCCTAAGTTATAACACTATCTCAAAAACCTAAGTAAAATGTACAGAATGAAAACTAAAATCTAATTAGAAAATTGTTTTAATTGACAAAATTGTTTTTCAGTGATAATTCATGAATATTTCTTTTTAGTATTTTTTAATTAAAAGATTAAATTTTATTTTCGTTTAAATATGTTTGTGATTTTTTTATCATTTTGGTTTCTAATTCTTTGGCACAGTGGATAGGTTTCATCAGACATGTAGTATCAGGTAGCGTCTCCAGTAACATAATTTCTGTCATGTTAATACTTAAAAACAAAAGTTTAATATCGAAAATTAAAATGATGAAATTTTATATTATAAATACTAAAATTATAACAATAAATATTATACAAATTACCAATGTATTCAATATATATAATATTTATGACTTTTTATGATATCTTTGTAATATTGTAACATTTATGCAAAAATTATTATTTTTAAATAATTTATAAACTTTTTATTTTACACCTAATTTTGTGCTGATTGAAAAGGTTAAAAATTTCAATTTAGTTAAATTAGTTTAATACTTTGATTTCATAAATTAAAAGAATTATAACTTCTAAACTTTTTGTGAATCATAATAGTTGCGAGTTGTGTTCAAATTTAACCAAAATAGTTTTAAAATAACAATATTAAATAAGATTATGTTTGTGAAAAAAGCATAAGAAATTAAATTATGGATTTCAAGAAAAACACTTTGCACTCAATAAATAAATAAAAAAGTATTGTATGTAAAACAATTTATAATAAATATATAAAAAATTACATAAATGGTAACCTTTATATTATTTAAAATCGCATAAACGATAAGTTTTTATTAGTAAAAGTATAAAAACATTATACAAACCTTACATGGCCATTAAACTAAAAATCTTCCATAAAAATCTCTTGCAAATAGTACAAGTAAATTTAGACAACAATCATTATAGACCTTTAATCACATATTTGGAGTGAAACTGACAACAATTTAACATTGATTAATAAAAATGCTTTCACTAATTTATAAGGAAAAAAAATCGTATTTTTCGAAAAGATTCACAACAGAAACAACACTCATTCACTCAGTCACTAGAAGAAGCGTTGATCCTATCTATATTATAGTTCTATGGAATTTCACCAGTAAATTGATAAAAAGCAAGAGCAAAGAGAAACAACAAAAAGTTTTATTATACAATGAAGATCTATAATGAAGATTGTCATCATTCTTGACATTAGTTCAACAAACAATGATAAATGTAAGACACATAAAGCCAAGTTTCCAACCTAAAGAACAAATCCTGTTTATATTAGACATTGTGTAGCATTTCATCACTAATTAAGCATGTGAAAAGAACACTGATACAAAACTGAAAGTTGAAAGAAAGAAAGAAAAGATTAGACTTGAGCAGTGCCTTCAGTGAATTTTGGATCCTCACATCTATACCTTCCATCTGGTCCAATTCCAAAGCCTTTTGGATCTGCAAACACATTCTCCAGAAGCTGACTACGGGGTGGAAGAGGGCTGTTGTCTGCAAACTCAACTGCATCATCAAGAATCTCATCGATTTTCTTCTCTATGGCCTTCAATTCTTGCTCACTGGCTAAATTGTTCTCAAAAAGGTATTGTTTCAGTGCAGTGATGGGGTCCCTACCAGCATAGTGTTCCTTCTCAGCTGCCAGAGCACAAGAATTTATGATTAGTAACTATTATGACTTATGAGCAAGATACACAAACAAAAGACTTTATCAAAGCTTACTCAAACTCATCAAGAAATAAAAATGTATTCACCTAACTACTTGCGGTGGGTTACTACGCATATGTAAGTAGAAAACATAGTTATTATTTATGAGAACATCTTAAAAGGATACCCATTTACCATGCTAGAATAACTAAGCCTAAAACCATCATATTTCAGTGTAATTTGAATGACATTAAGGTAGAAAATAGACAGCAAAAACAACTGAAGCCAAACTATCAGACGACAACTTCATCTGTTAGAGGACCAGATTGTTGTCATCTAACAGATTGAGGTGCCGTCCGACAGGATGTTATAGTCTGATGAAGTTCGTCAATCAGAATATGCATACCCTTACACGAATTGGTTCAATATTCACACAAGTATTTTTCTTTAAATCAAGACCATTTTAATAATTCTGTGTAAACTCAGTCAGGTTAATAACACTTCTTCTCTATTCTACTACCATTGGCTTTAAATCTGTTAGTTTTTCTTTCAATTATAATATGTACCTAAGAAATAGAAATGTATTGTGTGAGCCAAGCTTAAACAAATTTGAAAATGCTATTCCAAATGTGAGAAAAATAACTAAAGTTTGACAAATTGGTTGTTTAGGCCATATTTCTCTTCACTGAGTATGATACCTCTTCACACTGTTAACAAAATTTAGAATGCATGACCTCCTCCATCAATTAATATCACTCATCTAAGACCAAGTTAAGCAAACTATATGGCAAAGTAAATTTGTAATGATTATACAAAGTGCACTGAAGATAAATACCACATGAAGTGCAAAGGAACATCAACATACACACTTCAAAATTAAGAACTACGAAGAGAAGAAATTATCCAAGTAAATGCTCACCAGGGTCACGAAGCTCATCAGGGTCAGCCAATGAATGTCCTCTAAATCTATAGGTTTCACATTCCACTAGGGTTGGTCCCTCTCCCCTTCTAGCCCTTTCAATTGCCTTCTTTGCCACCTCTCTGACCTTCAAAACATCCATCCCATCAACATGAATCCCTGGCATTCCAAACGCTGGTCCTTTCTTCCATATCTGAGGATCTGAAGTTGCTCTGAGATGTGACATTCCAATAGCCCACAAATTATTCTCCACCACAAACACAATTGGCAATTTCCACAGAGCTGCCATGTTCAGGCATTCATAGAATTGGCCATTGTTACAAGTCCCATCTCCGAAAAAAGCCAATGTCACCTGATCAGCATCTGCCTCATTCAACACCTCCTTTCTGTATTTGCTCGAAAATGCAGCCCCAGTGGCCACTGGAATTCCTTCACCAATGAATGCAAAACCGCCAAGCATGTTGTGCTCTTTTGAGAACATATGCATTGAACCGCCCTGGCCTCGGCAGCATCCTGTTGCCTTTCCAAACAGTTCACTCATTACGGCTCGAGAGGAGACCCCCTTACTCAATGCATGAACATGATCTCTGTAGGTGCTCACTACATAATCCTCCTTCTTCAGAAGCTTGATGAACCCAGTTGACACAGCCTCTTGGCCATTGTACAAGTGAACAAAACCAAACATTTTGCCCCTATAATACATCTCAGCACATTTGTCCTCGAAGAACCTCCCTAGTATCATGTCTTCATACAGCTCCAACCCTTCCTCTTTAGTAATAAGCTGCACTCACAAATCCAGACAAAAGCAATAATCTCAAAACACTAACTCCCAAACAAAAAATTTCCGAACTTACATATTTTAGCAGTAGCACAACACCAACAATTTTCATTCATCTGAACTTCTGAAGCCAGTTAGACAATTAATACACAACTAAAACCCACATAAAATAGGACAAAACTTAACCGCATCGCGATTCCATAGATGATTTTTTTGGTTGCTTTTCAATCATATTTTCACGTAGCTAATTCACGTAACAAAAGTTTCCATTAAAGGTAAAAGAACACGGACTACTTTATTAATTGAGGTGAAACTCCAATTCTCATTGAAGAACAATACCAAGTACACTTGTAGAAATGCATCTAAGTTTTTGTGCCGTAAAATATAAATATATAACCACAGTCTGTCGAACCACACATCTGAAAACAGCAACCCAATTGATAAATTAATAACAAGAAACATTGGCATTTGAATCAAGCAGCTCATAAGCAAACCGGATCCAATTCCAGTGAACTCAATTGAATGAAAAAATTGAGATTTCCAACCCAAACGAACTGTTAAGTAACAAAGTATTGTAAAAAGAATAAACAGCAACCCAAATAATAACTTATATGAAAAAAAATTAACATTTGAATCAGCCAGCTCAAAAATTAAACTGGGTCCAACTCGAATGAGCTAAATTGAGTAAAAAACGGAACTTTTTTTATTTTCACCAAACCCATGTCAGAGAACCAATACCCATCCACGAAAGCAGGAATTTTTCAATGAAGAAAGAAGGAGAAAGGGTCACCAGATTGGAGGTTTGCTGGAGAAGAACATCAGCAACAGGGGTAGAAGCACGAGCCTGAGCACGAGGTTTGGCAAGAGCAGTGAAGCGAAGAAGCTTGCGAGTGGATCCAAGAAAAGAGGAAGAAGGGTTGGTTTTGGAGTGATCGAAGGAGAAAGAGAGAGGCTTGTCATTGGATCTGGGGGTGGTGGAATTGAGAGGAAGAGGAGAGGGTGCGAACTTGGTTGCAGTGAAAGACATTTTGGTCTCCCTGCAACAAAACGCCAAATGGAATCAGTGTGACAAATTGAGGCGAAAAAGAAGCAAAAAAGTGGGCTTTATTATAGAAGAGAAGAGAAGTAGGAGAAACAAGGAAGTAAGTAACAGGGGCGGAGGTAACGAGGGAGTGAGACTTGGAGATAACCGTCTTTAAGGTTGGGTTGAGTGACACTTTCTTTATGTCTATGTATGTTGTTGTCTACTCTAATTGCAAACAAACATTAATGAATACCACAAAATCCAACCAACTTTTCCTACATTCACAAATTTAAGCTTCCTTTTTTTAATGAGTTTTATGGTCATCTTGAACAAGATGTTTGGTTGTGAAGATGGGAGGGATGTGAGGAAAAAACTAAAATGGCACATGGGTCGGAGAACAAAAGAACAAAACTTTAAAAATTGTAGTTATTTTTTATATTTTTAAGTCACTTTTTCTCTAGACCTTTTCATCCAAACATCTTCAATTGTTCTTATATTTGTCATTGATTTTTACCTAATTATTTCTTCTCATTTACACAGTTAAAAAAATAATCCTACAAAATAAAAGTTGTTGTAATGTAAACTAAAAGAAACAAATTTACACCATAAATAAAACGTGTTAAGAAGTATTCAAGAAATTTATAGGTTATTTATCTCTTACCCCACACTAAATATTGTTTAAATCCTTTTATTTAAATTGAAAACAATCATATATATATATATATATATATATATATATATATATATCATAATCACTCTTTTGGTAAGACAAATTTATTCTCCAATAAATATATTACTATTATGAAAAAAAGAATGCGTATGGATAAATTAAACAAGAAAAAATAATGTTAAGTTGAGAGCATCCATAAATTTGTATTTTTCTAAAAACGAAAAATTAAAATAGTAATATCTATTAAAAACTTAACTTACAAAAAAGTTTGGTCCAAGGGAGATTTCACGTAAGAATCGTGGATTCTAATAATTATGATGTCTAAGAATAGTTAAATATGTTTGACTTATTTAAATTCTTTTTAGAAATATTTATACAATTATTTTTTTGGAATTAACAAGTATATGATATTTTCATTAGAAATATTAATTATTTGTTATAAAAAATAAAGTAATATAGTATATTTTTATCGTAATGAAACATTTATTTTCAATTCAAAATTTATATGTTTGAACTTGTAACATGTTTTAATAGTATAAAACAGGATGTAATCCTATAACTAGGAAACCAACAAATGATGGGTTATTTTTGGGGTGCATTTAAAATATAAAACATACACGAAATCACTTCTCTTCTAGAAGAAAGCAAATAATTTCTGTGTCAAAAAAAAAAGTACAATAGTTTTCATATTCAATATTAATATAATTAAGTTATAAAATAAAAATAGAAGATAAATTTCAATCTATAAATTTAATTTTGAAATGTTACATAAGATATAAAAAGGTTACATTATATATAAATTTAAGGATTAACTATGTTTTTACTTAATTTACTTTTAGTCAAAAATAATATTTTTAAAATTTTGAATTAATTTAGTCTTACTTTTATAACAATATAAATTTAGTATTTTTAATCAAATATTATTAAATTTATTTAATATTTCAAACGTTTTCTTAATTAATATTGAAATAAAAATATATTAAATAGTATAAATAATTCAAATACTATTATAAAAGCATTTAAAATTTTAGATAAATCAAACAAAATTTAGTTAATAAAAACTAAATCTACGTACTTTTAAAATTGAAAGATTAATTGAAAAAAAATATTTTTAATTTTTACTAAAACTTAAGGAAAAAATATATATTTAACTTTAAATTTAATTATTAAAATACTATTTAAAGTGTATTATAATCATATCAGTTAAAATTTGTGTGTCAGATTACATTAGTATTATTTTCATTAAATTTTATTTAGATAATATTATTTGATAAATTGTTGTTTTTTAGTATTATTTATTTTAAATTCTGTAATTTTTTATAGTTTTTTAAAACATATAAATTAAGAATTTCTTTTTCGATATATTTAGTAATAATTTTAAATAACTTAGGAGGTGAGACAATGTGTAACTTAAATAAACATTCCTCTATTCGGTGAAAAAAATACAAACAATACCTCAAATATAAAAATATTAAAATAATAATATGAATAAAGTACTATAGATATATATATATATATATATATATATATATATATATATATATATGAAATTGTAAATTTTATTTAACAAGTTAGTTTATAAAATTCTGTTAAATATAAATTTATTACGATATAGTTAATTTTTCTCAAATAGATATAAATATCTCGAAACTGACCATAATAAATTATTTATAGTCGTGTAAAGTGATTTTCTTTATGACTTTTGCTTTAATATATAATTAAGAATGGTATAATAAGATTTACATTTTAATAATATTTTATTTATATTTAACTTTTAAAATAACTTTTATTGTTATGATTTAAAAGTTTATTCAGACTCATTGATATCATATTACCATTAGTGAATACCCTAGGAGCTAACATGGAAATCTTATGGTAATAATCGAAAAGGTTTTGCATTATTTATTATTATTATTATTATTTATTATTTTAATTGAAATGATTGTTGAAATAAGGATGAACGATGAGTAGGAGAGAGAATATTGGAAATGGTAGTGAATAATAGTTACAAGAAAGTATGAAGACATTGAATGAAAATGTGAACCTTATTTATATGGCCACGTGGCAAAGCATTTATGAAAATAGTCCAAAGTCTTTTTCATCATCTTCACAATACTTATCCATACGTATATTTTTTTTTTCTTCCTTTTCTTTTCTATGGAAATGGATTTTTAGGATTGATTTTCTTTACTTCAGTTACTAATATTAAAATAAGATGACATGCAATGTTTTAGTTTGTTATTGTTATCTATTTATAGTATAAAGCAAAAATCCGTAAACAGATGTTATTTCTTAACAGTTTTTATTACGAATTTGAATGGTAAGTGTTTTGGTGAAAATGTATTTTAAATATCATAAACCAAAATTTAAATATGATTGTAAGTTTTTTCCTATTTAGATTAGTAATGTTTCATAATTTTGATTTTTCTTTGAGATTTTATAAATTTAAAGAATATATTATTTCGATAAAAATTCTGTAAGTAAAATTTAATCACTTTTATTGTTTTGTAATTTGAGATCAATAAGAAAACTTTTAGAATTTTGAAGAAAGGACTAGATTTGACTTAAATAATAGAAGAATTATAAAAAATAAGAAATATTAATTAGAGTGAATTAGTCATAAAGTATTGCACAAAAAGTTATTGCAATGAAAAAGAAATTGAATGATCAAATAATAAAATAATTTGAAAATAAATGAATAAGATAACTAGATCTAAGTTCATAAAGTATAAAGTATAGTAAAGTGAAAATAATTAAAAGGAAAGTAAAGTGTATAACGATTTGAAAACATTACACAAATTAAAAATAAAGAATATATATATATATATATATATATATATATATATTATATGGTTTCATTAATTATTGTAGTATTACAAAAATTAACTATATTTGTGAAATATATTTTTTATTGAATATAATTTTGAACGTTTTATTTTTATCATAATTATTTAGTATTACACGAGTTTTTTTAACAATGATACTTGTTCCTACAATTTCATATTACTTGAACGATTTGGTATATTTGTCGATATGACAACTAATAATTACACATGAATCTTATTCATTAAAAGATATTCAACCAATAGAATATCCACTCATGCATATCAAAGGAATCATATTATGTACGTCCTACAAGAAAAAAACATCTGATCCAATCTAATATATGAATTTACAAGCGAACTCATGAATCATAAAATTATGACAAGTTCATCACAACCTAAATCACACATCTACATGTGTCATAGTATATGAGAACACTCCCTGAATTTCTTACCACTTGATATCTTAACATACGTGACTTAAACATCAATAAAGCTAAGAGATCTTTGTTGAAATAAGAGTAAGTTCATCATAATCCAAGCCGCATATTTACACATGTTATAGTATGTGATAACTCCTACCCAAATTTCTTACTGGTTGATATCTCAATATATGTGACTTAAACCATCAACGAAGCTAAGAGATCTATATTACAACATATGTGAGAGTACCTAATTAATAACTAAAATAAGGATTTGAATATCATCGAGACGAATAATCTCGAATTTTTACAAATTTCATCAATCTTTACAAGCATTGTAGTACCATATAACTCTTTTAAAAATATCATATTTCAAGAATAATTTTAAAAGTATTTTAATAATACAATTTCTAAATAATTTCAATGATTAATCTAAATCATGATTTTCTCAAATATCATTATTTACTTATTTCAAATAAATTTCAGTCTCTTAACTTAAAGTGTGCATATTTAAACTTATATCAATTTCATAAAAGTATATAAAGAAACATAGATAAATTTATTCTAGTTAGTTAAATCATATTCAAAACTCAATTTACAAAAAATTCCATAATTAACATATATAATCTAGTAGTGAGATCAACGTATCAATAAGAATATTAAATTCAAAACATATGAAACAATAATTTATTATACAAAATACAACATTCAAGTTTAAACATTAAAATTTCTTCTTAACCAACCACAACCCCTACATATCAAATAAAAAATCTAATTTCCAACTCACATGCACATATAGGTTATCTATATAATGATTTTATATAAAAAAAGTTTAAATAATTTTCCTTACATGAGATATTTAACTTCAAAATAATTTTCAAAATTGAGTAATAAAATTGTTCCAAAATTTAGGAACATAGAACAATGTTCAAACATAATAAAATTTTAGTATGTAATTAAACAAGTTAGGAAAATGACTTCTTTCAAGTGATTCTAGTGTGTTTAATGGCAAAATATATGGAAATAGAGAAAAAAAATTCTTTTTCAAATATACATTTGATGTGTTGGATTAAGAGGAGAAGAAATTAAATGCATATAAAAATGAATCATTCAAATTTATTATCTAAAATTTTTAAGTTGAAAATACTTAATTAATAAAAAAATATTAAAAAAAATAGATATAGATAAATTTTAATCAATGTATAGTAATAATTTATAAAAGTAATGTTTTGACAAATTAATTAAGGGATTTAATATAATGGTCACATCGATACATTCTAAAAATTAAGAGAAACTTTATTAATTTTTTATTATTAAAGGGAGTAAATTGAAAAATAATAAATGGATAAAAAAGGTAATTAAGTATAT